AGTAAACAGGAAAATTAAAGAAGTAAAGCTAAACAATTTACCTGTTTCTAGTTTACAACCTTTTGTACTCTATTTTGTTTGTCTTGTCTATAGTTTTGCTAAACCTTATAAAATTTCCCACATGGAGGATGTGAAAAGAAAATGTTTTAGGTTTTATATATACATTTTAAATAACCAAAAAAATAATAAATTACTATATCAATACCACAGAATTCCATTATAATTTATCAAGCGTAGTAACTAAGCTGTATTTGGTTCTAAAAAATATATGAAATTTTGAGCTCACTAAAGACTTACCTTATCCCTTGTAACCTTGTGTGAAAAGAATGAGATTAACACAATAACATGTCAAAATGGCTAAGAAAACCACAAAAGGGATATTCTGAGCTTTCAACTGGTTATCTTTTCTTTTGATTAAGAATGAAATTAGGGTAGATTTCTTAAAAAATAAAAAATCTGCATGTAGAATTTTTGTAGGTATGTTAAAAAAGGTTAAATTTTGAATTTTTTAGTCATTTCAAAATTGAACCACTCCCTTAATGGTAAACAAAATGTTAGCATGGGGATTGGCCATTGAAAGGTGTTGATGATTTGGTTTTTATTGAAGGCCAAGATTTAAAAAATTTTTTTCCTCTGTTTTCACAAGAAAAAATATCAGTAATATTTCTGACTCTGAGCAGTCTATGGAAAATACTGGAATTGATCTGAATCATGTGGATATTAATCCCTTAATGATAAGTAGACTGAAATTAAAAACAAATAGAGTACTATGGGCAGACAAGGGTTTCCTCTGTTGTTGTTTTTTTAATTAAAAAAGGTCAAAGATCAGGTGTGCGAGTCTCACTTTTTCATTCTTGGTAGGTCAATAGACAGTAAATACATGCCTAAGGATTGGAGTTTTTCATGTTACTTCTTTCTTTTTTTTTTTATAAAGAAAGTGATAAGAGTTGCTTTGGAAATTACAGGCCAGTTAATCTTATGTAGAGAAAAAAAATTCAGAATCTGACTAAAGCTTTATAAAATAGCTTGGTAAAATAATATAACACAAAAGAAAGTCAACATGGATTTAATATAGGGATATCTTGCCTTACTAATCTGCTACTTTTCTTCAAGCATGCTGCTTGTTATCTAGACTTGATGTACTTAGATTTTCAAAAACAAAACGCTTTAATACACAAGATTAGCTAAGAAAATCATAAGTAAGGAATTAAGAATTAAAAAAAAGACTATTTCATTGGAATGTATGGTGGTTGGATGTGAAAAAAGGGTGTACATAATGGGGTCCAGTCAATCTGGACCCTTGTTACTGGTGGAGTGCCTTGGGACTTTTCTTTTTCTTATTTACATTAAAGATATTGATAGGGGCATAATTAGTAAAGTTTGCTGATGAAATTAATCTTATTTCTAAATATCTATAATTTAAGGACAATAAAAGGGCCTGTTGATCCAATCAGACCATCAAATCCACTAAACTTTAAAATTAAAACAAAACAGCCCTTACCATTCAAATATTTATCAAACTTTCCCTTAAACTATTTTAAATGAACTGCATTCCACCACATCAAAAGGCAACCCATTCCAAAGGTCAACCAGCCAGTTAGAAAAATAAACTGTCTTTGCTGAATATGACTCCTACACTATTTGGATCCCCTAGTCCTATCATTCTTACTATAAATTCCCTTAACAATTTTAAAACACCTCAGAGATCTTAACCTGACCTTGTATGACAACTTTTCCATCTCAGGTATCATCTTAGTACCCCTCCTCTGAACCATTTCCAAGTCCTTCTGTAATACCTCAAATGAATTGGTAGATTGTACAAGCATTTGACAAATGAAATTTATCTATGTAAAGTGAAAAGTAAAGGATTTGGGTTAGCAAAATTTGGGTCATACATATTTAACATAGATGAAAACCCACTCTATAGCATGACTGAAGAAACAAATCTTAGCATAGAAGTGGATACTGTAAGTCACTCATGATATCACAGGAAGTGGTATGTTGTTAGAAGTAAAACAGAATGTTAGGATGTATTTATAAGACATATTTATTACAAGCCAACAGAGGTAATTATCTCTTTAAAAGTAACCAGTTATGCCTTACTTGGAATTATGCATACAGTTTTAGTCTCCTTATCTTAATACAGGATACTGGCTAATTGAAAAGGATTCAAAGAGCTTCTAGGATGAATCTGGGGATGGAAGGGTTATATTATAAAAATAATTAGCATTTTAACTTATTTTCTCATAAGAAAAGAAAGGTAAGGGGTGATCTCAATGAAATGTACAAAATTATCTAGGAAATTGGTAGGATAAAGGCTTTGGTTTCTTTGTGCTATATTTTGAAGACAATAAGATGAGGTCACAAATATAATATCTGAAAAAGGAAGACTAGGTTCCAGTTACGACATTTTTATCTTTCTAACGGGGTGGCTACTTCATCATCAAAAATAGCAAAGGCCAGCACTTTTTATAGGAGTTTAAGATAGACATTGATTATTTCTTGAAAAATAATGGATGGGTTTAAATTTTGACTTCTCTCAATGTTGAGTTGCAATGACAGCCTTGTTAGACCAAATGGTCACTTGCTATCCATATGTTATGTTGTCATTTATATTAATGGAAACAGAAGCTTTGTCAGAATAGTAAGGTACTAGGAAATGTTATAGTTCCATAATAAGATAACTTTTATGGCTTAACTTGATTATTTCATGTTGAGCAGGTTGATTTTTCAGTGCATAACATAAAGGCAGAGGCTATATTAACAGTGTGGCAATAATAACTGGAAAAATGCTATTTTCATGGTCATTTCACTTTTGAAGAAAATATCACTTTGAAATAACAACTGCCATAAAATTATTATAAAATTCTGTGAATCATTCATTACTACATACTTTGACAGAAGTACATCAATTCAATAATAAGTAAAAAACATATTTTAAAACCCTTATTATAATTAAGTAGTGGATTCCAATGCTGATACTCCATGATCTATCATTGGATGATGGTTGTCAAGTTTACAAAGTTATTGCTCATTTTCATCTCAGGTGTAAATGAAATGTATCAATACTGAAACTTAAAACTTCAATAGAACTACTGTATTATTAAACTGATGTCAAAAGAGCATATTCATACCAAACCACCATGAAAGACCCATGAGAATACCATATTATATTTTTTATTGTTATAGTAATTTCCATAAAAATAGCCACAGCATAATTAAGTTTTTATGTTGTTTAAATTTTGGAGAATTCCAAGTATATGGTAAATTATTAGGAAGTGTTAGGGCTGTTTTTAGTTTCTAAGGGTATGGCTTGAATTCAAGCATATTAAAATATGTTATGTTTATTCACACTCCACACACATTTTTAGGGCTCAGTATTATTATACTAACAAGAACCCTTTTTAAAAATGGTACAGAAAGGTGCTCATTTTTTCTATTTGCAAATTTCACTTAACTTTACTACCTCCACAACATCCAAATGCAACCAATTCCAAAGACCAACCACCCTGTTAGAAAAATAAAACTGTCTTAGCTGAAGATGATTCCTACCCAGCCAAAATTTATATTTGTGTCCCCTAGTCCTATCATTCTCACCATTAAGTAAGAAAAAAGATGATTCATCAACACTATCAATTCCCTTATCAATCTTAAACAAATCAATCAGATCCCCTCTAACTCTTCTTTTTTTTAATAGAAAACAATTTCAGAGATTTCAACTTCTCTTTGTATGACAACACCTCTACCCAAGGCACCATTCTAGTAGCCCTCCTCTGAACCCTTTCTAATTCTAACAATTCAATATCTTTCCAAAGTAAGGAGTACAAGACTGAACACAATATTCCAAATGTAGACTAACCAGTGACCTGTACAATGAAATTATAACCTCTTTAGACTTGTATTCAATATTTCTATAGATACAACCTAAAATCCCACTTTCCCTACCACTAGCAACAGCACACTGCTTGGATAGCTTAAGAGATTGATCAACTATTACACCAAGATCCCTTTCTTTCATAACACTGTTAAGGTATTCCCATCCAAATTATACTTGTAATTCAAATTATGATAACCCACATGCATTATCTTAGTAATTATTATAATTAAAACCCA